CTTCCTGTCTAAAGAAGCGATATGCATTCCAATGCAAGACGTCATTTGATTTGTTGGCTCTTTTGTGCCACAGCACATGCTAAAAGTCATATTTCTATTAATGTATAGAAACACAGAAAATGTTTTTGATTCCTATTATTCCAAATATCTGAAATGTAGCTGAAATTTTGATGTGCCAGTGAATTTCTCAAACCTATAAATGATAAAAGTAAAAACAAACTTGGCATGATTTTATAGGTGCTAAACAGCCTCATTCCTATATATTTAATCATGATCACGTGACAAAATAAACCAGTTTAGATACATGTCAGGAGAACAGGCTTACTGTGTTTTTATTTTGTTGGATGCTTTGCCTGGATGATATTATTTATATTTAATTCCTTATATTTATATTCGTTTCAATTTTCATGTCGGGTAATGGCTACTAGTACCATTAGGACTGTATTTAAACCTCTGAATATGAACTGTGCCAATGGTTTTGCTGCAGATGAGAGAAGTACATTAACCAGGGCTGTCTCATTGATGGCCGACAGTTACAGTTTATTGTATTTTAAGTTTTCACCCAGGTGTATAAATGGATACCGGCAAGTTTAATGCTGAGGGTTACCCTGCGATGGACTAGCATCCCATCCAGGGGGGAGTAGAAATACTCTTAGTTACCTTACGCTACGGAAACCAGGATAATCTCGGGCCTGATGGGCCTCTTGGCTCATATGTAAATGTAACCTTATTTACCTCTACTGTATTTTTAGTAAAGATCCCTCTATATGTCAATTTACCTTGAGGTATGCTTCTTCTATAAAGGTTATTACATATGATATGCTTTTATTGTGAGTTCAGGTATTAAAAATGATGACAAGAAGCTCCAAGACAATATTTCACCTTCCAAGATTTTTTAGCTTATTTGGATTTATCTTTTATTCTTTCCTTTTGCTCCCAGACCAAACAGGTATCTGTTTTGTACTTTTGGCCAAGTACTTGATTAAAGATAACATCAACACTACACACTTTTCTCATGCAAGAAGTGATTACCATAACATTTTTAAGGAGTGGTTTTCTTTTCAATTTTTCCCCCACTTTGACTTATTATATGCACAGTAAAAGAAAATTAAAGGGGGAACATTTGCATGTTATGATTGTTGTATTAGGGGTAAACGTTTTTGAATTGATTGTTATGTGAAAACCTCTTTCTTTTACTATAAATGTGAATTAATTTGATATTACTCTCACAGACAAACCAGTTTTTCCAAACAATCCCACTTATAAATTAGTGCATATAAAATTTCAGAATGGTTTTAAATATTGATTGAGGAGGAAATAATATTATTGCAAAGAAAAGAATTGCCCTTTCCGGTGATTAACTGTCAATAAAGTTGATGTGGTGGATTTTTTTGATTAACAGTCGATAGAATCTGCTAATATGCTATTTCCTTGTTATATGACCACTTTCCTAATTTTCTACTTAAAACTGCAAAATCTGAAAAAGTTGTCTCTGTGATTGCAAACTTACAGTATAAACATTTATTGCTTTTTCCTTATAAATTACTACACATGTTAACAAAATTTTAATATCCTCGCTTTAGGGGGAGCAGGACATCATATTATTCGAAGCAAGAGTTTTCCACGTGTGATATCTTTCATTATTAAATTAAAACATTTTGCTGCACGCATTTGTAAATTGTCTTCTGAGCACATCCTATGATATGTGAAAGAGCATGTATTTTGCATAAAATTGTAATAAACACAGGATGTTCTGTCTAGCGTTAAATTATAAAAGGAAATCTTTATCATGACTGAATTTACATATAGAAAGCAATTGCTGCTAAAATTTTGTCATAGTTTGAGCTTAAGCCTAATTTAAAGAGTGTTCCTGGGCCTTTTGTCAGTGAAATTAAGGGATTTAGGTAAGAAAAAAACTAACTAAAGGTGTTTTACTAACAAGCTTAGCAGGCTTTTCTGACTTCTGCACTCTCAAAATTGCCTGAAGTCTTGTTCTTCTTTCAGCCGGCCATGAAATTAGGCAGTGGCCAGCTCTTAGCTACTTGAAAAAAAAAAACCTGAAAAAAAAAATTCCTGTCTGGTACGTTCGAGTCGTTTTGCTGTGAAAAAAATATTATTCTCTCTTGTCTGTTCCAGTCATTTTGTCAAGTACTCTTCTGACAAGTCAAACCATACAAATGTACTCATGTTACTATTAAGTTTGAGCGTCTCGATATCATTCCAAGATAGAGAAGCGCTATTGTTGTAAACCTTCTCCATTGAATTAAAGTCAGGCTAGTTTAGTTTCTTTCTGTTATTCTTGAAAATTCATACAGCATGGCTAACATGATAACTTTTCAATGTGATCAAAATATTTTCAATATTTTCTGAAAGGATTATTAAGAAATGGACTCATATTTTGTTTCATATTTACTTAATGGATTGCTTCGTGTCATATTGTGTGATAGGGTTTGTCTCAAAAAAACATTGGATGTATAGTTATTTGCATCTCATTTTACATCCAAGATTCGTTTCTTCTTCAGCTGTGATACTGATTGCTTTGCTTCCACAATGAAGCTACATCGTGTAAGCGTCCTAACATATTGTGAAATCAAAACCAATGTTCAACAAAAAGAAAAAAGATTATGTTCATGTGACATAGTGAATGGGATGTAAATTCTTTGCTAACTGTGTCTCATAAACTTTAACTTGAAAATGAAAAGGTCTGTGAAATCAAACTTTAAAACCCTTTTGGACTGATCATTAAGTAATTAAATATTCTCATTGTAGGATTTACACGCATTGTCCATGGAAATTTACACTGTTTAAATTTAAAGCTAAACACATCGAATAATGCTGAATTTGTAACACAATTAAACGTCATGCCGTCATAATGTGGTTAAATTTAAAGATCAAATACCTCTACTTTGAACCTTTTATTTACAGTCTGTTGTGTGTATTTTTTAAACTCTAGGATGTGTAAATTACACTGTGATTTTAAACAAAATCACTCTCTGAAGTATATGATCAGTATTTAATTTCTTCTCATAACATCTATACACTGTCAAACAGAGAGGTGACGAGACTACAGGAAGTTATCAACAAAGGGTGTATTATTGTCTTGATGTACAGTGTACCACTAAATTCTCTGAACACACCTGAAGTAACACCTTATGTAGGAGCAATGAGTTAACATTTCAAAGCTAAAGAAGTTGTTAAATTGCTGTTCACGATTTTCATTCTGTGATTTACATTTAAAGGCTAACAAATTTTCGTTTTTGTACTTTTAGATTATATAATGGGCAAACAAAACAGTAAGCTCAAACCTGAAGTGTTAGCTGACTTAAAGCAAGAAACAGAGTTCACTGAACTTGAACTCAAGGAATGGTACAAAGGTTTTCTTAAGGACTGTCCTAGTGGGCACCTCACTGTAGATGAGTTCAAGAAGATTTATGCCAATTTCTTCCCATATGGAGATGCATCCAGATTTGCTGAACACGTCTTCCGTACATTTGACAAGAATGATGATGGCAGTATTGACTTCCGTGAATTCATGTGTGCGCTGTCAGTTACGTCACGGGGAAAACTGGATGACAAATTAAAATGGGCATTCAGCATGTACGACATGGATGGCAATGGATACATCTCTAAGGACGAAATGTTGGAGATAGTCAAAGCAATTTACAAGATGGTAGGCACTGTTATGAAAATGCCAGATGACGAAAGTACTCCAGAGAAACGTACTGACAAGATTTTTAACCAAATGGATACAAATGAAGATGGAAAGCTTTCTCTTGAGGAATTTATTGCAGGAGCAAAGAGTGACCCATCCATTGTCCGTCTTCTACAGTGTGATGCATCACACAGTGCTTGAACATAGAGTATTTAAATAACAATAGCAGTGTGTATAAAGCTTGACCTTTGCAGTTCTGAGTGCACTGAGTAGCAGCGAGGAAGGCAAAATAATATTCCCTGGATATTTCTTTCCTTCACTTTGCAAGTTTTCTTATGTTACTTGTTTTCAAGTGTTTTGCAATAATTATTGTTTCTGCAATATTTTTCTGTTGTGGTTACCTAAATTTACTTTAATATATCATAAATTAGTATTCATTATTTATAATAATAATAATAATAAGAAGAAGTAGATTACTTGAATGCCAAAAGAAAATAGAAAATTGACAACTAATGAATGAATTAACATTCTTATTTTTTCGGGGGAGGGGGGACTTCTTGATTTTATACGAAATGTACAGAGTGAATGTTAATTTTATCTTTAAAAGTGCATGACTTTTTCTTGCTATTTGCGACATACATTAGTATGCATACCCTTTGAAGAGGCTCTAACATGTATGAAAATTTGGCTGCTCTTTTATTTAATACCATGGTAAACTTGATAACATGTGTAATTGCCTTGATGCACACCTAGATGAAGATATTGAGTGATAGCAACCATTTGTCCAAGACACAACCTTGGCAGAATTTGAAAAAGTGTGCCATACTTTTTCAATTTGAGATCTCAACCTGGTACATGTGATAGTTGTGGTAAGACCCATGCTCTACAAAGTTCATGTACTTTAATTTATAAGAAACTTAACTACAAGTAGACAATCACTTTTAGGTTTCCAGTGTTAGAAATGCTTCTTTTGGCTTTTGGCTTTCGGTTTTCAGAGTGATGCCATGATAGTGCCTCTTGTGTCAAATGTCAAATTGTCACTGAAATTTCATTTGATAGCACTAAACAGACAAGACAAAATTTTGTCAAGTTGCAGTTTACTGTATGTGACTTAGAAATCAAGCACTTTGGAACTCATGTTGAAAGTTGAAGTCTCAGAGTGAAAGTGAGCAGTCTTGTTGATTTCTTCAAAGCTGTTCCATTTAAGGGGGCTCCATAGGGTAATTATTTATGGCATTGCATGGGCAAGTCTTGTGTTTTGAATGCTATTTTTGTTTTTGTTTTTGCACCCAGTCCTCTCAAACTTACTACATGTAATAAGCAATGATTAAGTAGTGTTTTACTATCATCTCTGTTAAAATTTTGGGTTTTAGTCTTGAATTATAAATGCCCAAACAAAAGTGTTTTTGACTTTTTTTATGGCTTTGTGATTTTCTTGAATTTCCTTTGGTGAAGTCTTCCAAAATTTTCACAGCACATCGCATACATACTGCAGGATACGAATCTCAAACATGAAAAAAGTACGGTTTGTACAGGCAGTTTTTTTTTTATTTTTGCAAATTTATATCTTTTACATGCTATGAAAAAACTGGTCTTATAGATTTCCCTGAAAAACGAGCACCGACTAAAGTAAAATATTTACCACTAGTCTGCCAAATTTTCCAGATTTTCACCAAAGGAAACTCAAGAAAATTCACTGTTAGTTTTGCTTTTTGTACTCATGTTGACGTCATAAAATATTGAAAAACACTGACATTTTCCTTTGAGTGTGCACAGATTACTTGAGCTTTCGTCCTCAGCATGCATGCGTTCCTAAAACATTAGGGAGCTACCTTAACTTTGGGATTTAGTCTTACTATTGATCTGTTATACAGCGTAGCAAAACCATTGAGTTATGAGGCCTCTGTCATCTATTTGAGAATGCTTCAAATATGCTAAGTTCCAAAAAGAAAGCAACACTACTTGAGACTTCCATATATAACAGGCTTTTTTCTATCTACTTCTGAAGGATGATTAAGCATGGAGATTGCAACTTTTGGAATGTACTAACAGTCATGGATTTTATTATTGAATTCTATTTTATTGAAATCCCTGAACGCTTGTTAAACGTAAAAATGTCACTGAAATTTCATATGATAAGAGTAAACAGACATGCCATAATTTTGTTAGATTACACTTTGTGTCGTTCAAGTGACACTTCAGAGTCATGTTGAAAGTTAAAGGCTCACAGTTAAAGTGAGCAGTCATGTTGATTTCTACAAGGCTTTTCCGTTTCACTTTAGGATTTATTAGTCTATTGACATCTGTCAACAGACTTAAAGCAAAAATCTGTTACAGTGTAGATAAGATCTGAACCAGGTACAAGCCTCACCTTGTATTCCAAACGTTTGAGACTTGTCAGTTTTGCAAGAAAGATATCATGTCAACTGCATCAAAAGCTGTAGATAGATCTAATAACAGTAGAATTACTCGACTGTCTTCATCAACCACCGCAAGAATGTCATGGTTTTGTGAAATAAAGTGACTACACATAATCTGTAATTTAGTTTGCATCTAAGACGTCTGTGACATGATGAACAATAAAGACCTATCCGTGTGTTTTCTTGTGTTACCTGCAATTTTTGGTGTATCGCTATCATGTTACTTGGCTGGAGCCTTTTACTCTGGGATTGTAATGCTAGGATAGGTGTGTACTACAGCTTTGATTGACCAACAAGTAGAAGGCTTTTGACTTTCAAAGTGATGCCATGATAGTGCATCTCGTGTTAAAAGTCACATTGTCACTGAAATTTCATTTGATAACACTAAACAGACAAGGCAAAGTTTTGTTAAATTGCTGTTCACGTGTATGTGACTTAAAAATCGTGGGCTTTTACTATTAGAATAGGTGTGCACAGCTTTGACTGACCAAAAACTGGGTTTACGATTGACCTGTTGTGTTTGGCACTATAGGTTAAGTTCAAGAGTGCATCAGAGCATTATGAATGTCCTAAAAGTCTTAATAGTATGGCATGGTACAATGGTATCTGATTCTATTCCATTCTATTGTGTTGTGTTCCTACAGATCAAGCCAACCACATTCATGGCCGCTATGTAATGAAATATTAATCAAAGTTAATTAGATTAACTTTACCACCTCATATCCCTGTCTCATTTTGAACTTAGCAAAGTTATGTGCCATAAGTTTTACTTGATGATCAGAAATGTGGTTCTCTTAACCTCCATGCATTAATTTGTATTGGTAATGTGCAGAGAAATTGAATGTTGGTCAGATTTATTAATTTAATATTATTAACTAATTTATTATTGTTTTAGAAACAGGTGACACGTTTGTTGTTTTATCTTGTTCTTATTCACTCGCAACCAAAGATACAATCTGTGTTCCTCCCACACACATAATTTCCCAACAAGTGGCTACTTGCGTGTTCCTTTCACACTATGTGACTACTTTTGTTGTCTGTCTGTTATTTACCATGATCTGCTAATCCTGAAGTTGCAAACTCTTAAGTTGCAAACTGAGTAAAAGCTTAACAGAAATCTCACCACTTTTAACCCTTTGACTCCCAGCAGTGAAGTAGTAATTCATCCTGATTTTTTTAAAAGGGTCCTTAGATTTAATTTACTAGAAGGAACTTGTTTATCTAATTGATCTAATTAATTAGGTAATATAATTAATTCGTTGGTAACAGCTTGGCCGGTTGTGTATGTGACACTGAAGTGACAATACGATCTGTGAAGTAGCTAGGTTACTTTAAAGAGTTTGTAGTACTGTTGGAACAGTGCGAGTGTAGATGACAGTTGAATATTGTAAAATAAACAGCAGTAACTGTTAGTTCTATAGCCTTGAATGATTACGAACTAAGATCGTGTCCTTAAAAGCTAGTCGCACCTTGCAAAGCAAAATGAAAGATGCCAAATGAAAGCACTTCTCGGTAGCTTTCATTTAAATGGCAACACAATGGTTCAGTGACTAACTTAAAAGTTGGACCATCGTGATGTGCAACGTGGTAAACGATACCCTGAACAAAGTAGTACACAAGAGCTTTTATTTAAATGGTCGCGCATTCGATGTTCTCCTAAACGAGTTCAAAACTCTGAATATACTCCAACTTAAATAGTTCGTGAAAAACTCTGTTGCCATCCTAAAAAACTCATGTTCATTCTCGGTAGTCTTCCCACTCCTTAAGAGCACTAGAGTTTAATTCATCCAGCTGGCAAAAGCGTCTATAAATTATCAGCCAAGATCTCTATAGTTGAGAGAGTTGTCCAGATTTAGCATTTCAGGTAGAGGCTTGTTCCTTAATGTTCTCCATGCTACTCAACTATAAAATGTTTGTAATAAGGGAAGAAAAAAGGACGTTACAGTAAATGATGATGATGATGATGGTCAAACTAACAAAGTCGGATTTCACTGCTGGGTCACGGATAACAATCATCTTCTCTCTTCCTTAATGCAACCAACGACACGCTATAATTGAGCTGCATTGAATCTTCACATCTCACATTAACCCAACCCACCGCTGACGTTCACCAATCAACGCGTGGTATCTGCCTCGTCGCATTCCGCCCGCGTGCACTGATACACTCACTTGGCACGGTCGTCACGTGCATGTCACGTGCACGCATGTTTGACACAGACTAAACTGAGTTGCACGCCCTTTTGTAGGTTGCGTGAACGATGGGAAAACAAAACAGCAAACTGAAGCCCGAGGTACTGGCCGATCTGAAAGAACAGACGCAGTTTACTGAGGTGGAACTGCAGGAGTGGTACAAGGGTTTTCTTAAGGACTGCCCGTCTGGTACCCTGTCCCTCGAGGAATTCAAGAAAATCTATGGCAACTTCTTCCCGTATGGCGACGCGTCGAAGTTTGCGGAGCACGTTTTTCGCACGTTTGATAGCAACGGCGATGGTACGATCGACTTCCGCGAATTCATCTGCGCCCTCTCCGTGACCTCGCGCGGAAAACTCGAGCAGAAACTGAAATGGGCGTTCAGCATGTACGACCTTGATGGTAACGGCTACATCTCTAGACCCGAGATGTTGGAGATTGTCAGGGCCATCTACAAGATGGTGGGCTCTGTTATGAAAATGCCCGAAGATGAAAGCACGCCGGAGAAACGGACTGACAAGATTTTTAGGCATTTCGATGTAAATCTGGATGGAAAGCTTTCTTTAGCCGAGTTCATCGAAGGAGCCAAAAGTGACCCTTCTATCGTGCGCTTACTGCAGTGTGAGGGCGCTGGATCCTCGACCTAGAGACGAAGTTAATTGGTGTTCTCTTTTGTTACCCNCCCCCCCCCCGTCCCCCGCCTTTTCTTTAGAAGAATATGGGTTTTTGGGCTTCATGAGCCTTGGCTAGACTTACCGTATCTCCTGTTAAATATTTACTCTCGTGACACTTTTCCTCCTTGAAACGACAAAGCCAGCCGACATGGAAAGAACTTGCAGCCTGTGGGTAGACTGTTCACCGAGCATGTCAAGTTGGCTTAGCGCAGCTGACCTTTTGACGCAGGTAGTCAAAAGCTGGTTTCTTGTCAGGGCTTTGAACTTGGCGCTTGCAGTCTTTCAGAAATAGACAAGTAGTTGTTTTTCATCGTCATACGAGTGTTTTTTTTTTTGATCTTTGTATGCATCCTTAGGTAGTTGTCCTCGTAAGCAATATTATTGTTTGTTTAATACAGCCACGCAGAGAGAGTCCATCTCTTTATTCTTGGAATCTGATGATGATCTAGAGGACAAAGATTGAATCATTAAACGGAGATCGTGAGAGTAATATTTATTTATTTATGTCGTTGATTGATTTGTGCTAGATTAGATGGTATGTAGTTAGTTTTTCGAAAGTGGACCTTTTCTAATGTATTGATGGAACCTCTCGACTTAACCGGCGCAAAAAGACTACCTTTGTACTTTAAACTTCAGTAAATGTGTACCATGTTTTTCGTAGAGCAGAGGTCTGTTTCTTTGGCTATGGCACCTTACACGGATTAAGAACGCAATTTAGGGCTGTTTTGCTTTGCTTATTTCTTGGAAATTAGTATTTTGCCTCGCAGAATACTCATTTTTAACGATGTTTGTGTCGTGACACGCAAACGCACTCGTGACGTGTGACAATTCCATTCAGTAAGATGAACAAGCACGGTTGTCGTCTAGAGGTTGTTAAGCAACCGTGCATCTTGGCTGACGTAAAAAATTTCTGAATGTGTTCTTGCACTTTCTCTGATTGAATAATATCGATCAGATTCATTTGGTAACCCCGAACTTTGACGAAGGTTTGTTGAACAACGTGACTTGTTCCATCAGCTGTAGTGGTAGATAGATAGCCATTTTAGTTTTTTCTTTTGAGGTAACTGAGTGAACCGAGACGGGTTGCACTATGTTATGCCGTACACTGTACCTGAGGAGAGCATGTGTATAAATACACGCGGAAATATGTGACTGTTTCTCTCGAAAGAATTGGACAGTTATCTCAGGCGGTGTTAAATGTTGAATAAAATGTCGTAACTCACTGAGAAAACTTGTTTTCTCTGGAAAATTATTTGCGTTGACGTAGTCTTCTTCAGGCCCCTTGAAGCTCTGGCAACAAGAATGACTAATAGTGGGACGGTCAACCTGTACAAAAGTTTGCGGGCGTGCTTTGCACGTTGCAGGCATGCGCAGCTAAAGTACTGGCGAAAAGTAGCAGGGAACTTGACGGAACATTTTACGTTGACGCTTACATTATCGGTTAATGATCGTTTATTAAACAGCGACAGGAACGAACTCAATTGTTTTTCATTTTCTTAAAGAACGATTCAAGCATGTTCTTAAATGAGTAAAATGCAATGATCTAAACAAACTTAAGCACAATCGCGACTACACAAGTATAACTATTTCACACAGAAAGAAATCGAGTAACAAAATATGCTTGATCATGAATTCGAATTTGCGTTACTGAAATCCAATCTATTCACTTCTACTCGATAACTGGATATGTTACCATCCCGCGATGTTTTCTTCAGAAAGTATTCGATAATGTTATCAGTGATGACCTTTTCCGTCTTGGAAAATTACGTCACTCAAATGGCGGAAAATGATGACGTCAACGCCCAGACGCCCTAGCCCGTACGCTTCTCGACCGGGTGGAGTCACCTTTTAGAAGCGGAAATGACGTCATGAACACCCCTTGCTTGCCAGCAAGGTCTGCTTTTTCCCCATTCCTCTCGCATCTTTACTAATCATGGGAGAAGAGTTGTGCGAGGTGTTGAACTGTGCAAACGTGCTGTTGATTCATGGTGACGTGTCCAACTGCTTTTACACGAGTATGTACACTTGAACCCCGCTGTTTCGAACTCTCAGGAGAAACGAAAAATAGTTCGAAATAGCGCGAGTTTGAAATAAAAAGGCAAATCCAAGGGAAATTTTCCAACGGGGTCCAACTGTAGTTCTATACCAAGTGATTACGAGAGTTTAAATCGAGTTCGAATAAGCGAGGTCCAACTCTATTTTATTATTGCTTAGTACTTTTTTTGTGTACAAGGAAAGTC